CTATATTGGATATCCTGGATAATATAAATACATTATATATATATATATATATATTAATTAATAATTAATAGTAAATAAAAAAAAAAGAATGAGATAGAATAAACTTTTTAGGGTTTAGGTTTTTAGGGTTTAGGGTTTAGGGTTTAGGGTTTAGGGTTTAGGGTTTAATATATACCTTATAAGCAGGACCAAAAATAATATTAGTTTGTAGATTAGATGTATATATACAATGAGCATATGCATTAGCAATTAATTGTAAATAAATACCATTATTTAATTTACTTATATTAAAAAAAAAAGGAGAAAAACGTCCACTTTTTAATTTTATTGATTTAAATTGTAAAGCCCCACAATTATATGCTGCATGCAATAATTCACGAGCAATAGGAGATAAGGAGGAGGAGGAAGAGGAGGAGGAAGAGGAGGAAGAGGAAGAGGAGGAAGAAGAGGAGGGAGAGGAAGACATTTTGCTGCTGCTGATGATGACGATGATGGTGGTGGTGGTCGTGGTGGGGTTGGATATGCTGGTGGTGGTGGTGGTGGTGGTGTTATTGATTCTGCTGCTGTTGCTGCTGTTGCTGCTGCTGCTGCTGCTGTTGCTGCTGCTGCTGCTGTATTGTATTTTTGTCTTGTATTTTCTTCTACTTCTTATTTTTATTTGCTGCTGCAGTTGCTGCTGCTGCTCTTTTATTTTTTATAAAAAGAAGAAGAAAGTCAATTATTTAAATACTCAAGTAGAAGACCAATTGCTGCTGCTGATGCTGCTGCTGCTGCTGCTAGCTATGCATGCATGCATGCACCGGTGGTATATTATTGCGGCTGCTGCTGTTGCTGTATTTATTTATATACCTTTATATATAATATAAAATAAAAAAATAATTATTTATATATTTATTTTATTTATAAAAAAAAAATAAAAATTTAATATAATTCCCTATAAAGAGGCAAAATATCTGGCCCCACACCAGCAGCAGCAGCTGCTGCTGCTGCTGCAGCAACAGCAGCAGCAACAGATGCAACCGAATAAATTACTATTTAATTTAAATTAATAATTTATTTAAATATTTTTATTTAATTCATTTTTATTTTATTTATTTATTTATTTATTTTATGATTTTATTTAATGCATGCAGAGGAGGCGAAGGCACCCGAAGCCGGGGCCCCTGAACCTACCTTCTGTGGGGCCCCATCTGCTGCTGCTGCTGCTGCTGTTGCTGTTGCTGCTGCTGCTGCTGCTGTTGCTGCTGCATTTAGTTGTTATGAGTGTAAGCACACAGAAAACTGTTACGGAGATTCTTAACAGCCGCAGCCGACCGTGTCTTTCTGCCGCTGCAGCAGAGGTATAAAGGAAGATAAAGAAGTAAACAAACAACAAATTAAAATAAATGATTAATTAAAATAATTAATTAAATTAAATTAAATAATTAATTAAAATAAATAAATAATTATAATTTTTAACAGAAAAAGAATAGGAAAAAGAACTATTATAACAATAATAAATAAATAATGAATAAATAATAAACAAATAATAAATAATAAATAATAATAAATAATAAATAATAATAATACTATTATTATTATTATTATTGTAGTTATTATTGTTTATTATAATTATATTTATACTGAATAAAGAGGCAATTTGCTGCATAAATACAGACAGCCTCCTTCCTGCTGCTGCTGCTGCTGCAGCAGCACAAGCTGCAGCAGCAGCAGCAGCAGAAGCTGCAGCAACAGCTGCAGCAGCAGAAACAGATACTGCAACAGCAGCAGCAGCAACAGCAGCAGCAGCAACAGCAGCAGCAGCAACAGCAGCAACAGCTGCAGCAGCAGAAACAGATACTGCAACAGCAGCAGCAGCAACAGCAGCAGCAGCAACAGCAGCAGCAGCAACAGCAGCTCTGCTTATGCATAAATAAATTCGTTAATAAATTAAATAAACGCATAAATACCAGCAAAAGGGCACAAAGGTGTGCACCACCAAACCCTAAACCCTAAACCCTAAACCCTAAACCCTTAAAATGGCGGACATTCTGCCTTCAAAAGAAATGCAAAAAAATATAAAATAAATCGCCAAAGAAAGACAAAGAAGAAAAAAAGCAAAAGAAAAGAAAAAGAAAAGAAGGACAATAATATAAATAAACAAAATAAAAACAATAAATTAAATAAAAGAAAAAAGACAATAAATTAAACAAAAACAAAAAGAAAAAAGAAAAAGACAATAAAATAAATAAATAAATAAATAAATAAATAAATAAATAAATAAATAAATAAATAAAATAAAGACAATAAAATAAACAAAAACAATAAAAACAAAATAAAGGACAAAAAGAATAAAATAAACAAAAAGAATAAAATAAACAAAAAAGAATAAAATAAATAAAAAAGAATAAAATAAACAAAAAAGAATAAAGTAAATAAAAAAGAATAAATTAAAAAGAATAAAGAAAAAGAACAAAATAAAATAAATAAAATAAACAAAAACAACAAACAGCAAATATACAGCAGAAAGTTGCCAATAAGGGGAAACAAAAACAAATACAAAAAGAAAAAGAAAAAAAAAAAAAAGAAAAAAAGAAGAGAAGAAATAAAAAGAAAAAAGAAAAAAAGAAGGAAAAAAGGGAAAAGAGAAAAGAGAATAATAATACAACAAATACCCTTATATACTATATGCAACCTAGCTCCCTAGATTGCTAGCTAGCTAGCTAGCTAGCTAGCTATGTAGCTAGCTAGGTAGACAGCTAGCTAGGCAGATAGCCAGGCAGCTAGCTAGGTAGGTAGCTAGGTAGCTAGCTAGGTAGCTAGCTAGGTAGCTTGCTATGTAGGTATCCAAGAAAGAATTGTTATTGTTAATTAGCTAGCTAAGAGAAGAGGAAGCAAATAGAGAGAAGACTGTGGGGTGTACGTACACCTCAAGAATAAGGATTGAAGAAAAAGAAGAAGGCAGTTAAGTTATATAGCAGCATAAATATATTTCCCTCCTTTTTTTTTTGCTGCTTATTAGTACCCTTTTTTATATTAATATATATAATTATATATATTAATATTTTTATTTGTATTTATTTATTAACTGCAATTCATACTGAGACAACAAAGGGGCCCCCAACAGCAGCTTGGGGGCCCCACAGGGCCCACACAATGGGTCGCACACAGACAAACTACTCAGCTTTCTGCTGCTGCTGCTGCTGCTGCTGCGGCTGCTGCTTACCCGCCAATCCAACTTAATTGAGGGGGGGGCCCCGGGGGCCCCGGCGGCGGTACCCCATCCGGTTGTTGACTGCCTGCAGGGGGCCCCTGCGGGGCCCCTTGAGGTGTTCCCTGGGGTGGTCCCTGAGGAGGGCCGGCCTGGGGGGCCCCTTGTGGGGGGGCCCCCTGTGGGGGGGGCCCCGGTGGGCCCCCCTGAGGGGGTACAGTTACTAAGGATGGGTTAGGGGGCCCCGTATCTGGCGATCCATCTGTGGGCATCTTAGCGGAAGACAAATTTAATACTGAGGATTGGCCATAACGCATATTGGGGGCCCCTAGACAATCTGGGGGGCGCAGCCGCTGCTGCTGCTGCTGCTGCTGCCGCTGCTGTTGCTGCTGCTGCTGCAGTTGTTGTTGTTGACGTTGCAGTTGCTGCTGCTGTTGTAATTGTTGCTGTTGCTGCAGTTGCTGCTGCTGCAATTGCTGCTGTTGCTGCAATTGCTGCTGCTGCTGCTGCAGTTGTTGCTGCTGCTGCAACTGCTGCTGCTGCTGTAGTTGCTGCTGCTGCAACTGTTGCATCTCTTGCAGATGTTGGTGTCGCTGTAGCTGTTGCTGCTGGAGTTGCTGTTGCTGCAACTGTTGCTGCTGCAACTGCTGCTGTTGCATTTGTTGTTGCATTTGCTGCTGCTGCTGCTCCACATCGTGCTGCGGCAGCTGCTGCAAGCCAGTAAATGGCATGCTGCAGTCGCTGCTGCTAGGCGAGCATACAGGAGCGGTAGATCGAGAGGAAGCAGCAACAGCATACGTCGTAGCTGCTGCTGCATCGGTCTCTACAATCCCTCCTCCCCCTCCTGTACTACTGGGACTTTGTTCTTGTTTAATATCTCTATCTGACGGTTTATCTGTATCCCCAATATCATTGTTATCGAGGCTTCTCTGCTGCTGCTGCTGCTGCTGCTGCAGGTCGTCATCGGGCCGCTGCTGCTGCTGCTGCTGTTGTGGGTGCTGCAGCTGCGGCTGCTGCAATTGCGGCTGCTGCAGCTGTGGCTGCTGTAACTGTGGTTGTTGTGTTTGTGGCAGTGGTGGCTGCTGGATTTGTTGTTGCTGTGTCAGCTGCTGCATCGGCTGCTGCGGCTGCTGCTGCAATTGCTGCTGCGGCTGCTGCATCTGCTGCTGCTGCTGCTGCTGCTTAGCCATCCACCAGGCCCTTTCAACTTCTGCCATTAGACAAGGGGCAAGTTTAGTATTCATGAGGGGCCTCCGAATAAGAAAAGATATTAAGGCAACAACTTCTGCTTCGCTGGGGGGCCCCTCAGCAGCAGCAGCAGAAGCAGCTGCAGCAGCTGCTGCTGCTGGACTTGGTGCAGCAGCAGCCCCTAAAAATGAATTATCCGTCCCTCCACTCTTGACAACATTTGAAAGCCAGGGTCCCCTGGTCATGCATGCATCTCCCTGCTGCTGCTGCTGCGGCTGCTGCTGTGGTGGGGGGAATCGTGGTCCCGGCGGCCCACAGGGCCCCACGGGAGGTGCCCCACCACCTGGGGCCTCGGGGGCCCCTGGGGCCCCTACAGGTTCTGTGAAAGGCAGCAGACGAGGTTCTATTGTTTGCTGTAAAGGAGAAAGATCAGAGGGCCCCGGTAAGGGGGGCCCCCCTCCTGATGAAGGCAGCAGCGGCTGATGCTGCAGTGTATACGAGCTATAGAGAGAGGGATGAGGAGGAGGCGCGGTTTGCTGCTGAATAGTGTTGGAGCAAAAATCTGCGCCCGGTGCACCAGCAGCAGCAGCTGCTGCAGCAGCAGCTGCAGCAGCAGCCGCAGTAGCAGGAACTGCTGCAGGTGCTGCGACTGACGTATGTGGGTTTACTGGACCCCCACCACCAGCAGCAGCGGCAGCTGCAGCTGCAGCAACAGCAGCTGCTGTTCCTACAGTTGTTGTTGCACCTGTGGTTGGTTCACAAGGAGGCAGTACATCCAAATCGTTTTGCTGCTGCTGCTGCTGCTGCTGCTGCTCCTGTTTTATTCTCTTATTACGGCATAGACGGGGCCTCTTTCTTGAATTTCTTTTGTTTTTTCTTGGAGAAAGAGAAGGAGGAGAAGAATTCGTATTTTCTTCATTATCGCAATTATCTGAGAATTCCCCCTCTAAGCAGGAGGTCCGACGAGAGTTATCTGCTGCTGCTGCTGCTGCTGCGGCTGCTGCTGCTGATGTATTATCATGTGGAGGAGGAGGAGGATGATGATGGGGGCCCCCACCCTCTGTACCTTCATCTGGTGCTGCTGTTGCGCTGCTGGGGTGGGGCCCCAGGAAATCCGCTGCTGATGCAGGCTGCTGCTCCTCCAGCATTGCGACAGGGTACAAGCATCAGGGGGGCCCTAAACTGATGCTGCTCCTGCTGCTGCTGCTGCTGCAGAGGATTATAAGAGAGGCAGCAACGAACACAATGCTTATGCATAACACATGCCTCTCTTATAATAACTTGTAAACAAAACAAATAACGCAGGAGATATACAATGATATTATATCCTATGCAGCGCAGACACCACACAGATCACCGATTGCTGCTGCTGCTAATGCTGCTGATGCTGCTGATGATATGGATATATATATCGTCCTGCTGCGTATGCTGCTGCTGCTGCTGATGCTGCTGCTGCTGCTGTGGATGTGCTGCTGCGGATATGGCGGCAGCGGCAGCAGCAGCAGCTGCTGGTGGACGCCCGCGTGGTCCGTTCTCCTCCTAGATGAATAAATATAGAAAGATGGATACGTTAAGAGAATGAAGAAGGCGAGGGGTTAATCTAGAGATGAAGAAATGGCGGGGCGTTTGTTGATTGCGTCTTTGACGGAACGGGCGATAGCCGTTGCCTTCTTTTTGCGTCTGATTAGCAGCCATCTGGAAACATATAATAATAGTTTCAAACTATGCTAGGAGAGGAAGAAGGGTCTTAAGTGACTTTCTTACCCTTCTAGCGGCGCCTGCGTAGCCGCGGCAGCCCAGGGAGGGTGCTTGCTTGGCAGGGAGTGCATCAGCAGAGAGAGGAAACAGGAGGTCTCTCAGGTGTAATCCACTGAAAGAAAGTACCCTCTTGCTGAAACAGGGGAAGAAAAGCGTTTGAAGAAGAAAGGGAAACAGACAGAGGCAGAGGTGGCGCTTGGGGCCCTCTTACTCACAGCCCCCTCGACCGTCGGTGGCACGAAGAGGTGGAAACATGAAAGAAAATGAGGAAAGCTGATGAAAAATGGATATATTAGATAAAATAAACGATTTCTCTAACGTTTTCCATGAACAGAAGTCCTTTTAAGCATCTTTATGAGGTCTGTTAGAACAGCAAAAGGAGGAAAACTCGGTTCAATGGGCTGATGGCCGTCTGGTGTGTATGTACGTCATGGATCGAGTGAATGAAGGAGTTTCCTTTATGATCCTCTTTCTGTACAACAAATTAATGAATTAATGTTTATGAAATGGATTTCTTTCGAGTATTAATCATTAAAACTCTATTTATATATACTATTATCTCCTCCTCCTCTCCTCCTGCATTCACAGAGGAGGTATAAAGCCCCTCGTAATACCCCACCACCACACACCACCCTCTCAACCTCCCCTCCTGGTTTCGGCGCTTGTCTGCTTCGTCTTCTTCGTCTTTTTTACCTTTTTCTCTCTGTAAATCCTCTTGCTTTTCTATCATCATAGCAAAAGAAGTTGAATTTCTCTTTTATTACCTTGAATCACCACTTCTCCTTCACAGATTTCAACTGCGACGCTTGATACTTAATTGCAAAAGGCGAGGAAACTATCAATTATTTTTTTCTTTTTCTTCTTTTTTTCCTTTTTTTTCCCCCTTTTATTGAAAATGCTTGAAGCTAAACTTCAAAGTGCCGTCGTTCTTAAGCGCGTCTTCGAGGCCATGACGTGTCTGGTCAGCGAGGTTAATCTTGACTGTGACGAATCGGGACTTAAATTACAGGTATTTATTCTTTTTTTTTTTTTTTATTTCTTTTTAATGTATTTATTTAAATTATACCTTTTATCTATTATTCTTCTATATACACATTACCTTTATTTTGTGTGTATATGTGTGTGTGTATTGAACTTTTTCTTATATTACCTCCTATTAACTCTATAATGTACAGGTGTATATCCTTTATTTTCTCTGTGTGTATATATTTATTCAAGTTTATTTCTTTTTCTGTATAATTCCCTTTACCTTTCTTCTTTATTTATTTACTTTTCTTCTGTGTATAACCATATATCCCTCCTTTTACGATGCCTTATTAATAAATATACATAATATATATAATTAAATATAATTCTTTTTTTTATTATTATCCTTTATTCTCTATAACTATCTCTCTCTATCTCTTCTTGTCTCTGTCTCTGTCTCTATCTATAAATAAGAATACAACATCATCACAATCCATAAAATTCAAATTAAAGGGTTTAGGGTTTAGGGTTTAGGGTTTAGGGTTGATAAGTACATATATATATATAGATTTTTTCCTCTTTTTTTTTGTGTATGAATGTGTATATGAATTAGGCAATGGATCAATCTCATGTAGCATTAGTATCATTAAAATTAGAAGATGTAGGTTTTTTACATTATAGATGTGATAGACCAAGATCTCTTGGATTAAATATGTCTTCTGTTGTTAAAGTATTCAAGTTATGTAATTCACAAGATACTGTCTCTGTACAAAATGAAGATGAAGGAGATATGATCACATTCGTATTCGAGAATAATTGTAAGTTTATCTTCTTTCTCCTCCTCCTCCTCCTCCTGTTGTTGTTGTTGTTGTCTTGATGCTCCTGCTGTTGTTGTTGTTGTTGTTGTTGTCTTGCTGCTCCTGCTGCTGTTGTTGTCTTGCTGCTCCTGCTGTTGTTGTTGTTGTCTTGCTGCTGATTTTTTTTTGTTCTTGTTGCATTTCTGCTGCTAGTCATGACTCTCTTTTTGTTTATTTATTTATTTATTTTATTTTATTTTATTTATTTATTTATTTATTTATTTATGTTTGTTTGTTTGTTTGTGTATTAGTGGATGATAAGACATCTACATTTAGTTTACGATTGATGGGTATAGAACAAGAATCTTTAGGTGTACCTGATGAGGAAGAGAGCGACGTAGAGATAACATTTAGTGCAAAAGAATTTGCATCTATTGTTAATACATTAAAAGAATTTAGTGATTCTGTACGTATAGATGTTGATAAAAATGGCGTAAAATTCATTACTAATGGGGATATAGGAGGAGGAGAAGTTGTATTAAAACCTAGGGAAAGAAATTCACATGATGATCTAGATGTTGGTGTTGAAATTAAGGTAAGATATAAATATATATTTATATATTTATATATTTATATATTTATTATCTTTATTTATTTTATTATACATTTATTCTCTAATTATTCATTTTCTTCTCTTTTCTTTTTTTTCCTCTTTTTCCTCTTCTTGTTCATGTTGAGCTGCATGTACACCTCAATTAGTTTATTCAACTTTCTGAATTTCATCATATTTTCTTGAATTTTTCATGAATTTTGTTGTTTTTTTTTTTATAATAAATAAGAATAAAATAAATAAATAAGAATAAAATATATAAATAAAACTGAATAAATATATTTTTGTGTATATATATATGTTTCTTGTTTGTTATAGGTGAATCATCCTGTAAGTCAGACATATGCAGTAAAATATTTAGTATTTTTTTCTAAGGCAGCATCATTAAGTAATGGATGTAAATTATCGTTAACTGCTCATCGTCCTATTGCAGTAAAGTTTGATATATTAGATCCAATTCAAGGAGAAAGTAGAAGTTCTGCACCTAAATTAGGACATTTTAAGTTCTATTTAGCACCAAAGATGGATGAGGATGAAGTTGATCAACACAATACACCAGAAGATATGCAAACAGAAGGACCAAAGGCAGAAGGACAAGTTAAACCAGAAGAAGATATGGATAATTAATCTATTTATTTATATTTATTTATTTATTTATTTATTTATTTATGTGTGTGTATTTATAATTAATACATGCAGTCATTATTTTATGCATGCATGCAGTTCCATGCATGCAAACAGGAAGGAAGGAAGGAAAAAAGGAAAAAAGGAAGGAAGGCAGCTTTGTGTCCGTCTTTTTAGTTCCATGCATGCATGCATGCATGCATGCATGTTTGCTAGCATATAAGCAAGCTTTGGGGCTTTCTATGTAGCTTAGCTAAGAGACGATACAGTTGCGAGGGCAATAGGGGAGGAGGGAGGGACATCAACAGCAGCAGCAACAGCAGCAACAGCAGCAGCAGCAACAGTAATGGTATGCGCAGCAGCAGGTAGCTGTTGAGTTACGACTGCTTGTCTCCTCCTTTTTAGTTTTCATGTTCATATGCAAATACTGCAGCTAGCTAGCTAGCTAGCTAGCTAGCTAGCTAGTAACAATGGCGCCAGCTAGCTAACCAATTAGCTAGCTAGTTAGCTCGCTAGCTAGCTAGTTAGCTAGTTAGAGGTTTAGCTAGCTGCATAGGCGTCACCGCCGAATTGAGTTGGTATAAAGACAATGCAATTTGGTTGTTGTTGCGCTGTGTATAGAAACAGTTGCTGCTGCAGCAGAAGCTGTTGCTGCTGCTGCTGCTGCTGTATATTGTTTCTTTCCTTGCAGCAACAAGAAAAAGAACTAGGAAAAGAAAGCCTGCTTCTTTGCAGAATAAAAAAAAAACAAAGAAAAATGTCTTAGGGATTGTTATCTAGGCAAATGAATTTTTATTGGTTTTTTAGTTACAAAGTTCAGGTGTATAGGCAGCTCTGCGGTGTATAGGCAGCTCTGCAGTGTATAAT